CTTTTTCCTTTGGGAAGGTACCATCTGTGCAGTCTGCAATTTTGTTGAAGAAAGATGTTGAATCTATTTAATATTTCTTGAAAACTAATTGATTTCTGTGCCTTTTTTTTCACACTGCATCAAATTAAAGTTGATTACGTCGATTAATCTACTTTATGTAACAAAGTGTTTAGAAAGTTGGCACATACATGTAATTTTTCATTTCTTTATGTGTCCATCTATAGAACGCTGCATGTTATAGTGTAAATCTGCCTGTTCTCTGTCAGAAACCTGCCTGCAGAAAATGAACCTAAAGCATGTAATGCAAGGATGTAATCACTTTAGAGATGGAGAAAGCATAAAGTGACAATTATGAATCACTTAATATGATAAGGAGATTCTGCAGGTCATTAATCAACGTATGAAATTAAAATAAAATGTATTTTTAGTGACACAGGATACAAATATGGAAGCAAGATGTATAATTAGAATTATTTATAATAAATATGAATAAATTAGTGCAATTTCTTTAACCATAAAGAATAACTAAATCCTTCAGGACAATGTCACATCAATGCACTGAACTCACCATGTTATCCACCTAACAGCCTTTACATGTTCTCACTGTAATTTCCCCTCATGAATGAATTTATGCTGCACTAATCTGAATGTTTGCAGGGAAATCAAACGCATTTCTCACGCAGTACTCGAGCTGACTTACCTTTGTTTGAATGACGACTTGTATGCGCTGATTCCACAGATAAGGTATGAAAATATATCAGGCTACGTCAATAGCGCTAAGTCTACAGGGTTTCTACTCCACGGCCGTATTTCATACGGGTCCACATTTCCAATGCACGCTATTTTCTGCAAGTACCGCTGCTTCGCCTCTGAACGAAATCGGTCTCTATACCGTTCATTCTCTTTTGAGCTGCTTTTAAGCATCTTGTAGTCGTCGTTCCAACACAGTGTGTTTGTTTTGATTCGTAGACCCCGAAAATGGTGCCGCGCTCCCACAATGCATTGCGGCGTGACGTCAACTCCAAAGCCCTATGGTAGCTCACTTGGTTAACAAGCTTGATCCAGAAAATTTCCTGAGCTACAAAGATGCAGTTTAAGTAGTTCCAGAAGCCAACAAGTACAGTGTTGCCCACCAAAACTGAAGCATGAACTTCCTGAAAGATCTGTGACAGAAAACTCAATATATTATTTGTCAGTTAATCCCATCAAAATGTTCCAAAAGGTACCTATATGAAAAACACAACCAAGAAGTCCAGTTTGGTCACTCCAGTTGGCTTGG